TTTTTAAAAAAAAAAAAAAAAAAAAAAAAAAAAAAAAAAAAAAAAAAAAAAAAAAAAAAAAAAAAAAATCGTGCGCTTCATTGTTTGACTAGCCTGGTATCCCAAATCTAGTAGCAAAGTTGCAACGTTACAGAGCTTAACACTTAATCTTCTATATCACTTTCATACCTTCTCGTTCACTGGAAGGAGACATTTTTTAATGGGTCGTCAAGAAGATATCTCTTGAATCAATTGAATCAAGCGGATTTCTGCTTGATGTAGGTAATTATTTTTCTTTCTTAATGTAAGCATTTTTCTTCTTGATTCAAAAATACTATTTTGACGGCAACTTTGAGGGTATCTCTGCTTAAATCAAGTACAGTTTTTCCAGTGCTCTTTGAGGAACCAATTGTCATAATTGACGACGTCACAGAGCTTGAAACACTACAACATTTAAGGCTGTGTAAAATTTCAATATGATGAGAAGAATACTCACTCTCTGGCATTTATATCTTTGGTTTCGGTAACTCGAATACTAGAGACATAAAGGTGGTCGTTGCACCACAGGAAACAAATGGAGCGCGGCTGGAGGACATCCATGTCGTACTCCCAATAAAACTCCACGCGCCGGACTTTACCGATGTCGTCAGGGTGGGTCACTACGAAGCTCCTCGAGGTCCCGTGCTCCAGCTTCTCGTAACCGCTGGAGGAAAAATTTAAAAAAAATAAAAATGTCAGAGAAAATGTCGAATTGCCAATAAATGTCGAATTGCCAAAACATGTCGAATTGCCAAAAAATGGCGAATTGACGAAACATGTTCGAAATTTAAAATGTGCCAAAAGCTAAAAAAAAATGGAAAATGTCAAAAAATTAAAAAAATGTCAAAAAATTAAAAAATGTTAAAAAAATATCAAAAATGTTGAAACAACTCGTCAGGACGTTGGCACTCCCTCACTTCGTTGAAAACCCCCTGTCGGCTGCCTTTCACCCTTTTCTCCTATTTTTCACAATTTTCCATTTTCTCACATATTCTCTACATTTTCCATGTATTAACATTTTTCCCCATTAATAATTTTCCTCCTGTTGTGGTGATGAGACTGATTTGAGATAATCTTGAATTTTTCTTGCAGAATATTCTTTTATAAGCATAAATATTGTAAACTGATTTTTCTCTACTAATAATTGAGTTAAATTGAATAATTAAAGAGAATTATAGAATAATATTAGGGAGACCATGCTTTTTCACTTCAGTCATCGGTGTCTTGTACCTTTTGTGTGTCTCATGGACGACACTGATCATACAGAATTCAAAACGCCTTCATATCGGTAGGATGCAATTTTCAATACCTTGCAGCTGAAGGTGGTCAGCACAGCAGTGAATCGGAGTTTATGGCGAAATTTTAGGAATGAGAGAAAATATTAGATTTCTGTTTCTAAAAATATATGGTGAATATAAATTATGTCAAAAAAAAAAAAAATAAAGCAGTAACACTTGTACGGTGACATTTGATTCGGAAAAAAAAAAAAAAAAAAAAAAAAAAAAAAAACAACCCATGAAAGTGCGAAGGAGGTTTGAAAGGTACTTTATGATAAAGTCTAGCTTAAAACTAGGTTGTACCTCATTATTTAGGAAATTCTTACTTCTATTTTATTAAGTTATCTTAAATAATAATAAATTCATTAAATTTATTTTCTACTCTGTTTAATTAATATGTGGTAGCTCCTGAACTGAAAATTATACTCTCTCGCTTGGCCTCCGGTTCGCGTTGCTTTCATTTTTTTTGATATACTAGAGGGCTCCGCCCCCTGGCCGCTCCGCGGCCCAACCCCCTCGTATATTCTGTCAATTCGTTATGAAAATATCACTTAATTTTTTTTAATTTACATTATTTTCGTAAATTGTATTAATATTAATACTGCTGAAGTTCTGTTAAGTGCTTATTCATTCAAAAGATCATCTTCAATTTAGCTAAAAACTTACTTCAATTAAGGTTGGAGTTTTAAAAAAAGGTGAATAATCAGTTTGAAACGGTTTATATGGGATAAAATAATATGGATGGAAAGCAAATAGGATAGAATATAATATAATATAAACGAAATATAATAGGTTTGTCATTAATAAAACGGGATGTATTTATATTAACCTTGATAAAAGGCCACAGGTCGGTTTGATATTTAAATTAAAGAGTGGCGGTGATGCGTAACAATTTTTGGATTTGCTGCTGCAATTCCCGAGTAGTAGTGATCGCCATAAATTGCGATTTAATCGGAGAATATATCGCGATTTTATCGACGTCGCGATTTATTGCAATATTATCGGATAAAAAAATCGCGATTTTATCGACGGCGAATCATCGCAATATTATCGGGAGAAAAATCGCGATAAATTGCAATAAAATCGCGATTTTATCGAACGCGATTTTATAGAGATAAAATTGCAATAAATTGCAATTTTTCATCAACGCCTACTAACGCATGAATGACGCTTATGAAACATGTTTCTATGCCGCCGCCGCTGCCGTTTTTACCAAGGTCCGTTGGTAACTTTACCATCTCTTTTTTTTATCAATCATTGGTAATGTTAGAAAGGCAGACCGGTATTTTTACTGATTTTTCCAGGTAAGAATACCACTTTTATTCGTAATCAATTCCCGGTAACTTAATTTACCATTTTATCTCTGTAATTCTACCACAGGCGATAAAAAATATCGGCGTTTTTACCAAGGTCCATCGATATCTTTGCCATCTCACTATTCTTGGTAATTTTACAAAGACAGAATGATGAGATTACCAGTAGAACCTCATTTTACCAACCGTATTTCATAAAGTACAGTACGTATTTCATAAAGTACAGAGGAGGGAAAATAAAAAAAAAAAAAAAAACCCAATGAAAACTCGGTGTCAGTCAACGCAATGTAAAAAGTTGTAAGGTTGCGAAGCGCCGATCCATCTACATAGAGGCAATTCGCACTTGGGAATCATGTTGCGGCCATAGCCTAATGGAAAAGTGTTGGCCTACCACCGTGGCGACTGAGGCGATAATCGCTCATATGTTGATGATCCTAGCGATTTTATCACCGGTAAAATCGACCGGTAAACGTGATGGACGCACGGAGAACGCCCAGAGTTAACGCCAGGGGATGAAACCCCTTGGGGACGTGATGGTACAATTTTTTATCTACCAATATTATTTTTATTATTTTTATTTTATCGGCGATAAAATCGCAATTTTTCCGTTGAAAAATGCTACTTGGGTTGGGTGATTTAATTTTACCGTGAATAATATTGGTAGATAAAAAATTGTACCATCAAGTCTCCAAGGGGTTTCATCCCCTGGCGTTAACTCTGGGCGTTCTCCGTGCGTCCATCACGTTTAGTGAAATTATAATTTTAAGTTATATACATAATAAAAAAAGGTTTGTTCATAGGGACAAAATTAATTGTTTTTAAGATAATAAGTACATTTTGCATTCCTCAATTTAAACAGTAGAAAATATACAAAGTTAATGCAGAACTTCTTGATAAACAATGTTCATTGCTGTGTTTTTATTTTTGTCGTCATCAAAATTAATGATTTTTATTTTTAAACCCTCTTTAGTCCTACATCTAGACAATGCTACATACAGTTGCCCGTGAGCGAACATTGGTCTTTCTTTATCTATAAAAATTCCCACTCTGTCAAACGATTGCCCTTGGCTTTTACTAATAGTCATAGCAAAAGCTAATCTAACGGGGAATTGTTTCCTATTCAAAACAAAAGGTAGGTTCGTTTGTTCTTTTGTGTTAAGTGTAATTTTTGGTAGTGAAACTATTTTTCCTTTTTTTTCTCCGGTTAAAATTGAGCAATGCAAAATGTATTTATTTATTTTTAAGACAATTAATCTTGTCCCATTGCACAATCCATCCTCGATACAAATGTTGCGTAGTAACATAACCACAGCTCCTTCTTTTAACTTCAAATTTTGACTTGGCATTCCTGAAGGGTTCAGTGAAGCTAAGTATTCTGGTTGATATCTCAGAGTTAACTCGTCTTGGTCTGTCAGGTCTCCGTCCACTGCAGTTGCCCAACTGAATCCTTCACTCACAATTGTTTCTCCTTCCATTTTTGAGAGTACTTCTTCATTCAATCTGTCAACTTCACAATTTCTGGATGCAAGAAGTATTGATGTTTTTAATGTTTCTTCGTTATATTCTTTAAAAATGCTATCAACAATGTTTTCATTACATATCATTTCTGATGGGAATTCAACTATTTCTTTCTTTCCATTTCCGATTTGTAGCAGCCATTCACTGAATTCTTCGTTGTTTGCTCTCATATTTTTTTTCAAGTGGAAGATTTTGAAATGTTTCCATAAAGGAGAGCTTATTAAAGCTGATTTGACTATTTGATTTCTGCTTCCTTTCTTTACTACTGGCAATAATTGTCTGAAATCTCCGCCTAGGCAAACTGCTTTTCCTCCGAATGGATCATTGTTTCTCATTAAATCTTGCAAGGTTACGTTCACTATTTGAAAAGCTGTTGACAATATCATTGAAGCCTCATCCCATATTATAAAATCAACTTCTGTTAATATTTGTTTTAATGCTGTTGTAAGTTTTGCCGGTTTAATGTCGTTTTCGGATGTCATCTGAAGTGGCAATTTAAAAACCCTGTGAGCTGTTTTTCCACCAGGAAGTTGATAAATGCGGTTATCGAAACGTGCGATTATCGATACATGCGATTTGTTGTGTTTGATTGTGTTTCATGGTGTGTTTGATGTGTTTGATTGTGTTTCATGATGTGTTTGTTGTGTTTGATGTGTTTGATTGTGTTTCATGATGTGTTTGTTGTGTTTGATGTGTTTGATTGTGTTTCATGATGTATTTGTTGTGTTTAATGTGTTTGATTGTGTTTCATGATGTGTTTGTTGTGTTTGATGTGTTTTAGGTGTATCATGATGTGTATATTGCGTTTTACGTGTTTCATGATGTGTTTGATGTGTTTGCTATGTTTCATGATGCATTTGATGTGTTTTATCCCGGTTCCTTAACATAGTTACATCCACTATTATAAATGACTATACTGTATAGGTAAAATTACTGCATATTATCCCGGTCACTCTGAAGAAATCCGGTTTTATCCCAGTCATTACTGCTTTAGAAAAAAACGATGTATCGAAGATCGATACACAAAGATCGATATCCTTCCTGTTTTCCCGGTTTCTTAATATAGGTACATCCCGTTTTATCCATGACTATCCTGTATAGGTAAAATTCCTCCACTTTATCCCGGTCACTATGAAGAAATCCCGTTTATACCAGTCATTACTGCTTTAGAAAAAACGATGTATCGAATATCGATACACAATGATCGATATCCTTCCTGTTATCCCGGTTTATTAATATAGGTACATCCCGTTCATCCATGACTCTCCCGTATAGGATGTAAAATTCCTCCCTTTTATCCCGGTTATTATGAAGGAATCCCGTTTTATCCCAGCAATACTGCTTTAGAACAAACGATGTATCGAATATCGATACACAATGATCGATATCCTTCCTGTTATCCCGGTTTATTAATATAGGTACATCCCGTTTTTCTAGGACTATCCTGTATAGGTAATAATCCTCCCTTTTATCCTGGTTATCAGAAGAAATACATCCCATTTTTATACCTGTCTACCTATCAATAATTCCTTTACGGAAGAATACATTTAAATTTCCCGGGGATTTTCAATGACGTTTTCTGATTGGTTAATGAAAGACCAATGAGAATGCGAAATGACACGGACGTACACACAAAAAAGGCCTTATTTTTTTTTACTATAGTAAGATACTATAGTAAGATAAGATAAGATATGTATTTCGGAGAAAATCGGTTATTATTTTATTGCCCACTATCATCGTTAGCGACGCGCTAAATTAAGTAGCACTATGGAGCAAACGCAGAGGCTGAAAAAACATAATTTTTACTGATGTCTTAGAACAAATGAAAATACTTACTTGGGAGTGAGATCAAGGTTTCGAATTACACCATTATCACTATGCAAAGAGACCCTCATAAAACCCTGCACCCAAGCTTCGGCTCTCGGGGGCTTAGCAAGTTCCAAGGTCACTTTGTAATGATGCCCTGAAACATAAGCAAGATTATCTTAAATGGGGAATTGTTCTTCTTTGGATTTGAATACAAATTTGTCTATTAATTATTAAGTGAAGTTGCGACTGAAATATACTTTGGAAATACGTAATCTGATGTCATCCTTTGGCCAGTACACCGATTTCCTTCAAATCGAATGAATAGAAGAAAATAAAAAGACGGCAATTTGGCAACTTATTTTTAATTATTTTCTCCCAGCCAGCTACCCTTGATACTCGGAGGGGCAAATGTTCAAGAATTGGGTTACTTCTAAATTAGTGCTCTCCACTTGATCCGAGCCCCGTAATTAATTTAAAAGTACAGTCGAAGTTTCTCGTCTTTTGAGGTAAAGAAAATGCGGAGAAAAATGTAGAGTTTTCGAGCAGAATCAACAATACAAAATATTGATTGCTAATGTAGCTGATTTCATTTAAAACGCATTTTGCCTTTGAATCTATCATCTATTGGTTTAAGTGTGCATAATTGCTCAAGAGCTTACACATAGGTTGGCCTTTTCTTAAAGTCACCTTCACAATACTGATCTAAACTTGCCTGCAAAAAAAAGGACAAGCACTGGGGAAAAAAACACATTGGATATAGAGTCCAGACTCTTGAAAACGTTGAGAAGAAATAATACTCTTGATTCAATCGGACTTTTGCTTGAATTAAAACGAAATCCGCTTAAATTAAGAGGCTTGGTTCTTGATTTAGGCTAGATTCTGATTGAATCAAGAGTACTTTTTCTTGTCGATGTTTTTAAGAGTCTGGACTCTAATGTGTATTAATAATCTAATACACATTATCTCTAATAATCCAATGTGTTTTTTAGCGGCTCTGGTGCTTGCACTAGAGCTGCTATTCCGGACGGTCCCAGCTGGGGAGTATCATTGGACCATGTTACATTGGAGAGACCGCGCGTTGGTTAATGGGAATCGGCGCCATTTTCGGCTATGTTCCTTGTCATGACTTTATTTTATTGCATATTGTTTTATTGTTAGCCAATGCTGTGTTGTGTAGTGTATTTTTGGAATCATGGTGATACAGTCAATAATTCAAAACTTGTCTGTGCTTTAATCTCGTGATGGAAAAAATGTACTTTACGTTCAAAATTTGAAAATTTGAATTTTAAAGTTTTCGCGGTTAAGGAAGCTCCAACCACTGGGTTGGAGCTTCCTAGTCATATTACTCGATATCAGCTGATAGCAAACAAAGGTTACCAAGGAAACCGTAAACGTCTAATGCCGTCTGCCCACGTAGCAAATGGGAGGCGAAAATGGAAGTCATCAGTGCATCGTTGAGTGTTGACGCCCGATCCCATTTTCAGACATGTTCACACGTTTTGCTTGCAAAGAAAAAAGGCGGCAAATCAATTTTTATTATTGGACCAATGAGTGTTCTCCAATTTGAGTTTGTAAAATTCGTGGTTTCTAGGTTAGGTATTTGGCTGTGTGATAAATGATATTATGCCGTCTTTGATTTTGTTAAAATGACTCGATATATGTTATTTGATAAACGATTGGAGTTTTGATAAAGTAAGTTGATTTGAATTAAAAATTGTGTCCTTAAAAAATGGATGATGAGGTGATTTGGTTAACATGGGCATTTGTGGTACTTGCGGCGTATTGGGAGTTTGTATGGAAACGACGTGGCAGTAGTCCACACTTTTTACAAGAAACTATTTTGTACAAAGTTCTGTACAAATTTTACACTATTTATACAGTAATATAATACAACTTTATCACAACTCACATAGCTTCAAAACAAGATAGAAAATGATGGATGCTCAGCCCCGACACATCGATGATCGCGAAATTTGCGCGGCCCGCGCAATTTTCACGTTCAACACTCACCGATGCACTGATGACTTCCATTTTCGCCTCCCATTTGCTACGTGGGCAGACGGCACACAACTACCGTGGCCATCTGGGCGATTATTGAAATGACATCGACTCTATGTCGCCGCTTACGACAAGACATATAGCCCTATCTTAACCGTGTAATATATCGCAATTCGATATTCAAAACCATTACCTACAATTTCAGATATAAAAATGCAAATTTTTTGCAGCCTCGCTAAACGACTTATCAACCATGCATTCCAAAGTTTCGTATCACAGGGCTGTGAAAATATACAATCTAATAAATACAAAATAACCAAATATCTAAAAAGACAAAATTTCAGTTACAGTCAGTTTCAGTCTTATTGTTGCACAAACTAGTTATTTGACAAAAAAAGAAGATGATCACTCAATTGAAAGAAATTGGCGCCCAATCACAACGACAAGTTAAAAAAAATACTGTGGGAGAATTTTTTTAGGATGCGGACCTCCAAAGAGCCTTCAAAATTAAAAGTATACAACAAGTGATAGTGCCATGCATTCTGCATATCAAGGGCCAATACACATTTATACACCGGCTACGTAAATCTGCTAAGTTACAAAACATGAATCGACAGTTGTCGGATTGTGCATCAGTGACAAAATGTGTCTAGGCCCTCATTCTTGACTACAACTACTGTCGCCAGAGCCGCTCTCCGACGCGAATGCGTTGGAGCTTCCTGCTTGTTTTTATTTCCAGTGAGAGAATAAATAATTCATTTTAATTTTTCTGCGTCGCGTCGTATAAGATGTATAAGAGGTCTTTTTTTATAGTTAAAGTTTTAATTTTTTTTTTAAAGAATCCATTAATTCAGGGTTTCAGTGGTCATTACCTTCGAAATCCATGGACGTGTTCTCACGTATTCAGGCGGCAAATATAATTGTGGTCTTTAATTGAATACTTACGGCAAAAGGGAGCTTCTTTGCCTGTGGAGATGAAATACTTCGATCCGGGCGGATGTGTCGTTTTCGTAGCAGTTAAACCCATTACAGCACACCCGGTCCCATTTTCCCCGCAAGAAAAACACCGACCCTGCAATTGTGCAATATACGCTGTAGTTAAAAGTCACTGAAAGTTTTGTGTGTTCAAGGACCAAATATATTTATAGATCGTCCATAATACACAGAGGAGCATACACATAAATCTACTGATAGAATATTCGAAAAGACAAATAATTGGCCATTTTTGTTTCATATTGGAATCTGAAGATTGGCAGCGGCACTTTTCGTGTTAGAGGGTTTGCTGCTCTTTTGGTCCTTAGGAGCTCCATATTTCGACCTGTCCTTACTTTCCTTATACAGTAGACTCTGGATTATCCGGCTTCGTATTATCTGGACTCTGGATTATCCGGATCGATTTTGCAACCATGTAACTACGTACGCATTCCAATAAGAGAGCGGATCCGCGGAGAAGCGGTCGCAAGGCATATTGGCGCCTGCAAGGCTGAAGGAATACTTCACGCATTGCGCCAAACAGTGAGGTTGGCGTGGAACGCATTAGCGCCTACTAGATTGCATAAATACTTCTCGCATTACGCCAAACGCAGTGCAGTCGGTTGGTTATCCTGAAACGCACATTAGTTGCTACAAGACTGCACGAATACTTCACGCATTGCGCGCTTTAATCGTTGTATTGTAATTTATCGTTGTCGGCTACCATTCACAATCACCATGGAGTCGTTCAGTTTGGCGTTAACCTTTAAATTCGTGTTGGTATGTACATGATGTATACATAATAAGAATACTGTGGTGTTGGTTGGTGGTGTTTGTGTTTACTATTATTATCATCCGGATTTCTTTTTCATCCGGATCCGGCCCGCCACCAATTAATCCGGATAATCCAGAGTTTACTGTATTGTAGACTTGTAGAGTCCCTTTATACCCAGAGTTAAGACAACTCTATTATCAGCTGACTGGCAGCCGGCTTTGGCTGGCTATGGAGGCCGAAACGAGTGCACTCAAACGAACGATATAGAGGGATAAGGATCAGGAATCCTGCGATGTCTGTCACACAAAAACAACAACATCAACAAATTGATCAATCAAAAAGAAAATGAGATTGGTTTGTGAATAATTTCTTAATCTATTTTCATTTTGGACCGATGGAAATAACAATTCAACCTTGATAAACCACAATTAAGTTATATTTTCATTATTCTTGTTCACATTCGAGGTACCGCCATCTTGGTGCACTCGTTTCGGCCTCCATGAGCGAGAACCAATCAGAAGTGGATTTTTTTTAGGCCACTTTCAGCCCAACCAAAAGGTAGCCAAAAGTGAGTTGTCGTAACTCTGGGTATAAAGGGACTCTACTGTGTTGTATAGGTACTCTAGTGAAGTATAGTTTGATGGATCACCTGGAGGAAATGTTGATAGGAGGAACAGCGGTGGGCAAAGTAGCCACACTTTGAGTTTATGGACTCGGTGAACAATTTGATGGCTCTGATGTGGTTGCAAGCCACCAGAACTCGACTGGCCTCTTCGATCCCGTCCCGGATCAGCGTGAGCGGAAGCGGGGTCTCCGTCAGGTCACAACCAGGCTGCTCCTTCCCGTTGTTCGGGTAGAAATCCAGGTGACCGCAAGGCTCACTCATACCGTACCCTGAAAAAAAGCCATGTCATTTGCAAAATACACCGTAACAATGATGAAATTACAAAGCCACACGGAATAAAATGGATTGCTGATCTCTGTAATGTTGCCGAATTCCTCCTCACTGAGTGGAATTTTACCAGAAAAATCCTGGGCATTTCTACCTGAAAATGCCACTGATTTCCCTTCTGATCACATGCAAAAATCAGAAAAAATGCAATCATTTGAGTCAATTTTGTCTGATTTTTGCAAGAGATCAGAGGAAAAATCGGTGGAATTTTCAGTTAGAAATGCCCAAGATTTTTCTGGTAAAAATCCAATTTTTGAGGAGGAATTCGGCAACAATGAAATGCAGTTACGTGCTTTCGTGAGGAAATCTAGAGTACCTATATACGGGAGAGTATTGCCATATCAGAGCGGCTGTCTGATTGGTTCATCAGTTTTAGGCTATCATGGAGCTCCAAAAGTTGGCCCGATGTAAACGAACCCAATACATGTTATCGGCTGAGAAATGAATAATAATTACATTCAAAGGTTAATTTTCGACAAAAATATCCGTCAAAGTTCGACCCAAACTCAATTCAGAAGTTGGATATAAAAAAATGTCTATCACATCCAAAATCACGTTCTAGAACTTTGTGGAACTTTGTCGCCTTCTTGTGTGTTAACATTGGTCCAAACTAGGAGCAGAGGGGCTGGGGTTTGTTTGCATTGGGCCAACTTTGGGTAGCCAACCAATCAGAGAACGGCACACTTTTTCTGTGGTATAAGGATTGAGATGGCAATACTCTCCCGTATACAGGAACGACGATATGGACAGCATGTCCCCAGCTCACTTCATTATATTACGACTCTATGCACTGTATGTTTCCAACTCCAGCGGGGCGATTATTGAAATGTCATCGACTCTATGTCGCCGCTTACGACAAGACATAGCCCTATCTTAACCGTGCAATATATCGCAATTCGATGTCTTATCGGGCTGGTTTAAATTTCAATAATCGGCCCGCAGGTGACATACATACGCACAACATGATGAGTGAGTGACTGTAAATGAAGAAAGAAGTTATACCTAAAAGTACAATGGAGGAGCCGTCTGTGTGAATGACGTCGACTAGGTCAGCATCTGAAGGGTCGAGGCGGACGTGGCTGGGCATCCCTTGGAAATAGGGCTCGGCAGGATCCAGGCCCGTGATGCGGCCGAGCCCTGCGATTCGTTCGCCTGCGTATCCGGCCGTGTGCGCTCCTAAACTGTGTCCAATGATATGCACGTCCTTCGGGTCAAGATCCATCTTTTCCTGAAACAGACAAAAAATTCTCAGCTGAAGAAAACCCAATTTCTACCGAACACTAAGGAATCGCATGTTTAATGAGGATCAAGACATAATACGAGTATGCCATATGCAGCGTGGTACGGTGTTTACACCTGCTGTTGTCTCATTTTCATTGGCTGATAGGCGTACGCCGTTCAAAACGACTCGTTTCTACTTCTCAACTAAAACTAAAAGTTGTTGCCTCGTTACCGACCTCTGTACTGCTTCTGTGGAACTAAACCATTAAAATCGTATCCCACGGGAAACCAGAGAAAGTTTTCCGTTGAAATATCGAAGTCTGCAGTAAGGCTTTCCCGTGAACGAATAATCATGACCTCTACATATAACAGATATGATAATATTAAAAAAAAAAAAAGTGCAGAAAATGTTTCAGAAAAGTGATTTTCTGATATCGTACCTTCCGGCCAAAATATGACAAGCGCCGTGCGAAGTTTATACATTTCCGCATTATTTTATTTTTTTACAGAGACATCGTTCAACGAAGCTGTCCGAAAATTCCATTTAACTTTCTTTGTACGTACATATGAGTCGCTTTCATAGCGCTCTCTGGTGCTCTGCGACGCCTAATTTCCACCAAACTCTGTCCTTTCACAACCCGTCAGGGAGTCGGCACTCCCTCATCCCACTTAAAACCCCCTGTCGCCTCCCTTTCACTAGGCGTCCCCTTCGTCTTCTCCCAGGAGGAACCCAATCAAGCATATTTTTTATGCGGCCTCTCTTCCGTCATCCTATTAACATGACCGTACCAGACAAGTTGTTTGGTCATAACATCGATTTTCTTCGTGCTACCGATGAAATTCGGTAAAATTTTCAAACAGATTTAACCAACAATTTCTCTGTAAAAAGATAAAACGGCGGCGGAAATTTTTAAACTTCGCATGGCGCTCGTAATACTTTGGCCGGAAGGTAACGAAAGTCGAGACTTGAGATTTTGTGAATGTAAACTTTTTTTACCTTTAAAGTGTTGATAAGATTTGCTATCTCCAATCCGACCAATCGCGTGTTCGCCGTGGCTTGAGTGTAGAGAGGTAGAGAGCCACCTGCCCAGTCGACTACGATCACATTCCAGTCGGAATGCTTCAGCAGTTCCTTCCGCATATCCTGAAACCGCAAATTAGCTTTCTCAAAGTATTGCCTCTCGGAATACCCACAATGAATAAAAAAAAACCTTGCATCTCGATTTGACACGCTAACAACCTCCTCACATGGTTCAATTTCAAGAGGGGAAACTAAATGCTCTTAATTCATGATATTGTAAATAATGGACTATTTAAATCAAAAAGAACCATATATCCAATGTATCGACAATTTTACACAGTGGCAAGACTGTTTTGGCTCCCCTTAAATCCATTGAAAATATCGACTTTAGGTGAGACGAGCTGCCTCACCAAGAATCGATTGTCTTTTATACATTTAAATGGAGGATAAACAGAGTTGCCAACTTCTAAAAATCGCCACTGATCCAATGTGACATGAGCCGTGTAATGCATGTATTCTCATCGATCTCAAGGCTCATGAATGACTTTTGATTGAAATGCATCCATATTCTTTTAAAAGTGCTTTGAGGCATTTTCTCTAAACTTTTCTCTGAAATTTTTCTCTGTGAGAACAATTTCTTAAATGAACGGAAGAAGAGAGAGTTAGGAGTAAAGAGAGGTGCTTTAACGCATGATAGTGGTGAACAGAGGTCCAAGAACTACTTTCTGAAGCGTAAAAAATTTTCTGTGAAATTTTCACCTTCTTCTTGACATATAGGCGCTTTATCACTCCCCTCCTTCATTCGCTATGTGTAACTCCCTTAGAAGCGAGAGTCGGTTCAATTTTTAGACTTACGCATCCTATATAGACCTCTTAAGAGACCTTTAAACATATTTCCTCCTTTTCAAATGACTATTGATTTGGACATACCATAGTATAGCTCGGGCAAACTTAACCTTAATTTATCTCGAAATTCAAAAATAAGAGACATCTAAAATGTAAACGCGATACAACTATTCGCGCAAGATGGATGTCCACATTGCATACGAAAAATGTAAGACGCGATGCCGTGAGTCGTGAACTCGCAATGCTCTACTCTAGTTTGAAGCAACATTACAAATAAGACAAACGCAAACAAACACAATATGAAAATAAAGCGAGGGAAAGGATGCGTGTTAACGACGGCGCAGAGATACAACTATTCGTACTTGATGGACGTCCGTGCTGCATCTGCAAAATTGAAGGCGCGATGACGCGAAGCGTGATCTTTCAATGCTCTGCTTTATGCTGTCAATAATGAAGCGTTGCTCTGATTCGGGAGAAAAGTTTAAAAAAAGGCCTGAAGACATCTCTCCTACCTTCGGCTGTATTACTCACGTAGTGCTTGAGGCACCGTTACGAATAAGACAAACGGAAACAAACACAATATGGAAAAAGAGGGAGGGAAAGGATGCGTGTTTGCAGCAGAGATACGACTATTCGTACTTGATGGACGTCCGTGCTGTATCTGAAAAATTGAAGGCGCGATGACGCAAAGCGTGAGCTCTCAATGCTGTGCTTCACGTTCAATTTTGCACTTGTGCTGATTTGCCAAAATTTTCTGAACCTCTCTCCGCGTAGGGAATGCCCTACCACGAAATATCACATTACACCCCTTTAAACAGCCAAGGGTCAACGCTACAAGAAATTAATAAAAACGAGGCATGGATAGTGGAATTGCGTTTTTAATCTTGCAACTAAGCATTTTCACAAAATGTTAACATTTTGCTTAATATTTAAGGAAATGCCATGTTGACTAGCCTAATAATTAGGCTCGTCAACATGAGAGGAAAACAACGTCCAATTGAGCAATCCTCTCAACCGCTCCGCGCCGCAGGCGTTATGCGTTACGCACGTTATAATATGCGTTACAATCTCATGATTTTATAAGTAAGATAAGTATACCTTAACCCAGCTGCTGAGAGGCGTGTCGATGAAACCATGGACGATCATCTTTGTTTCTTTCTTCGGATCAAAATTCGATTTCGTGATTGTTTTGTCGGTGACTTTCAACATTTGCCCCTACGGAAAAAGGAATTTTACTCATTAAGCATTCGACTCAATATAATATTTAAATACGATGATTGTAGAGAAAGAGAGATAAAACGAGTCAAGTGTCGCAGAAACAGCCATAAAGTTTATCAACAAGGTGTTACATATCGAGGGCTGACGAACAATAACTATTGCAATTCTTATGGCTTAAAGGAAGCCTTAATGTTTATGAAACGACTATGAGTACGTCCCTTAAAATTCATGTTTTACATTGAGTCGTAAGGGAAAAGAGAAAGTCAAACCCTTCTCTGTTTTGACTTATTAATGCTGCCTCATTCCTTTCTGTCAACTTTGCCTGTATGATAAAAGACATATCTTCGTCACAAGGTAACTACACGAACCAACTTTTTACTTAAGGATGACGGACGCACAGTTATCGGTTTTGTTTTTCAAAAACAGTATAGATTTGTTTTTTCTGCACTGTGGAATATTTACCTCAGTCGGGTTCTTTCTCGTGTAGAGAATGAACCTGGTGTCGATCACTTGTCTGGGTAGAGGGAAAACGTTGAAGGGCCGGTAGATGAGGTTGTACCATTCCCTCGTGATCGTGATACACCCAAGATCGTCGTAGCATCGCGTCTCGTTCTCAACTGAAACAAAAAACACCAATAGGCTCGTTAGTTCAAGCGCGTGATATTGAAGATGTAAATGATTGTTAAAATTAACTTCCTAAAAAAATTATCATACATAAATAAAAAAATAAAAACAAAATTAAAGGTGGCATCATTATATGAATCGCTTTAGCAAAAAGGAACCAGCGCAATTACAGTGCTGTAAAAATGTTGCTTCTTCATAATTATCTGAAATTTCTCAGAATAGCGAATATTTTTTGCTCTCTACGATAAGATTGCTAATTTTAAAGGAAAATAAGTGTAAGAATTTTAATATTGTACACAACATTGCGCATTTTAAAAGGAAAGAAGATGTTGCACGATTTTGAAAACACTGTAATCGTGCTGGTTTCCTCTCGCTAAATGTGATCCATATCATATCGGCTATATCGAGAGATAAGGAAAAATACCACCTAACTGACAATTTTGGCAAAAATGAAATAGGTAGCGTGTTTTCCAATTCCACTCGAGATTAATGTACTGGCTATTTGTAATTTATGAAAGAAATTGCAAACCAGACCTTATTACAAAAAAGGCGACGATTTTTCTTCGTCCTGTAAATTTGTCAGTTAGGCGATATTCTCCCCTATAACCATCGATATACATATTCCCCGCATACTTTGATGATCTTCTTGTGCTCCTAGATTGTTACTCTATGCAGCCAGCATGTCACGTTTTAACGAGTTTTGCCTCCAGTGAAAACTGAGTTGCATTTATCCTCTCTAAAAGATACCGACTCATGCACTATACTGCAGTTGGTTGCCAAGTTGGTTTGCAATAATCAGTTTTACGGTTCACGCATATAGCATGTGGTGATTTTGAATACCGGATTTTTGTACATTGAGGGCTCAAGAAAAATACCGCTTAACTAAAAATTTTGTCGAAGATGCTTTTTAGCAACTTTTGCCGCATTCTTCAGCATTAAATAGGCAAGCTGTTGTTTTTAGTTTTTTCCAATTTTACATAGGAGTGCTGCGAAGGTGCTGTAATGTATAAAAAAATTGCAAATTGAACCACAAAATTACAAAAATGGCGAAGTTCCTTCTCTTATCTGCAATTTTGTCAGTCTGCAGACAGGCGGTATTGCTCCTTAGCTATCGACATATAGTGGGAATCAGTGGCGTGACGTGAATTGCGATATATCGATTGTTATGCCATTTAAACCTATGGTTAAGAATCGATTATTAAGGTGTTCGCTGCGAACACTCTGTTTATCGATCCTTTTCCATAGGTTTAAATGGCATTACAATCGATACATCGCAATTCACGCCACGCCACTGGTGGAAATCCTGAAAAAAATCTGTACGTTATCTAATCAGATGGTGGAAACAAGGGGTATTTGATATAAGTTACAGGGTTAGGGCAAGGTAAAGAGGTATGTACCCATCTCATCTGTTTTCCCTTAATATTACGAAATAATTAGAACTATAGAGGATCAATATCTAGTCATATAAGCCTTCAAATAATTTCTCCCTTTTCTGGTTTTCATGTGTAAAACCTGGCGAATTGGAAGTTTTTCAGTAAAAAAAAAAAAAAAAAAAAAAAAAAAAAAAAAAAAATTTAAGGATCAAAAAAGCATATGCAATCTACCTCACAGTAAAAGTTATAAATACTGAATTTTTTTTGCAAGTAAAACTCGTCTACAATCTAAAAAGTAGGGAACACTGTACTATGAGGACGGTTCGTTTTGCCCTGTGCTCTCTATTATTGATGTCCGATTTTCTCCTCCATTTGGCTGCGTCGGCCATTTCTGTCGTGACAAGGAAGTTATTCTTTTCATTTTACATTTTCCAAGACGAGCGAATGAAACATTGGAGGCGTCTGTTATAAAACGGTTATCATTCATAAGAAAGAAAAACGAATAATTGAATGTGAATATGTTGCCAATGCAAGTGTCAGGATTATTTTCCGTATAGCTTATCACTCATAAGAACCTGCATTTCTAAGACGATGCAACCGCATGAGAATAAGTCGCTTGGAGTGTGCGATTTTAGTGTCGAAGATTTCCTACCAATGATATGAATTTGGGGGTTAGATTCGTGAGGAAACCATGACCTTTAACAAAGGGTACTCTCATTACAGGATCGTGGAAATACAACTGGTCGTTAGGAATATGACAAAAAGTAAAAAAAATCTGCAGTATATTTATTCGCAAACAAGGGGGCAAAATTTAGTTAATTTACTAAAATAGAATGTGAAACAAGGCGTATATACTCTGAGTATGAGTATTTTCTGAAAACCTAGCTAAGTTTTTAGAAGTAAGTAGCCGAACGATATTCATGCACCCAATCTCTAAAAGTATGCGTGCAATACTAGATAATTGAAAAAGTTGCACCTCTGTAATTATATTTGGTGTTGGGAGCTCTGAGACTTCAAAGCATACAAAAAATTCAACGAAAGAAAAGAAAAGAAAGAAATGAATAATATGCTTAGAGGTTCAGATCTTTGATTAAATTACAGAATGCGATGCGCTCAAAAATGGTGTGCTTCAAAATGAAATTGTTTGACGCAATTTATTGCTTTTTACAGTATAATTTCATCACAATCACTTTTGTTTAAAAACACTTTACGATGCTTAAATAAAACAGCAGAGGCTGCGCGCCTCAAAACTATAATCATAAAAGTTTCAATTGGTGAAGGAACTTGAAACGCTTCTAATTAACGTTCATAAAACTAAGGTCATTTTCATTTTCTGTGATCTCGAGATGTGGTGTACACCGTTACAAGGTGACAAGTTATTCAGAAGACCTCAGTCTCAAGTGAAAAATCATTTTTAGGATATTGCAACATTATAATAAGACCGGAATCAGTAATCGGATGTGAAGTTTGGAACCTAATTATAAAAACCAAAAAGCTGAGGTGCGCCGTGCCGCGCAGGGCCCAAACCGACCGACTGAACAGATACTGAGAAACGTAAGATGATCGAAGCGCCTTCAATCTGTACCAACGCAACATTACTGGCGGCCTAGTTCATCTTCCTGTATGTACACTTCAGCGTGCCCTTGCGCTTTCTTTCTACACAGGCTTATATTTTAATGCACTCAACATCAATCAACTTTACTCGCTTTATAGGAAGTATGGTTGATTTTATCTAATGGTATGTCAAGACTCACTGCATTAGTTTTGATTTTTATTGCGTTCTGAAAAGTACGTGCAACGAACGTGACTTCAAAATCGACATATCTGCGTAGCTAAAGGACATATTTTGATGTCAAATACTCCTCCATCAATTAGTGTTTCAATAAACTATACAATGGCACATTGTAAGTGTGTTGAGATGATTTTTAAAGAGAAAACTTACAGTAAAAGTGACTTTATCTCTTGGAGGACTGGTGTCATTATTCATCGATTATGAAGCGCTTGGTGCATTTGCCACTTTTTTTACGACTGGTGGTTGAAAGTGAATTTTAAATCGTAAATTTCTAGTAAATTAAATGCAAGAGGAAGGGAAAATATTTGGAAAATTTGATCTCTGTTAACCCATGAGCGTGAATCCCATTCTCACTGAGATGCAGTTTTAAAATCATAATTTACTGCTAACTACATTTAGGAAACCGGCTTGTATGTAAGCAAACAATTTCCAAAACTCGGAAGCAAAGGTAAGCAGTGTGAATGAACTGTCAAATACGCATTAAAATGTTCAACCGAAGAGTTTGTTTTACATGCAATATTCCTAATTATCGACGGTTCCTAATATGCGGATAGTTTCATGCGAAAATATCAGAAAATAGTGAGATCATCATTTGTTTCCTCTTTGATGTTTATAAAATGAAAACTATGTAATTTTTGTGGATTAAGAAACCCGCAGTATAATAATCTTGAGCAATGGTAAACGCGCATTGGAACAGCGCACAAATATTGCGAGGCATACTGGTTTCGTAAATATTTGGAATAACAACAAATAGTGGTAGATCCGGAATGGGTAACGCAAGTTTACTGTTTAATAATGATTGTTCAAAAAGTGTAAAGGAAGCTGAGTTTCCTCGCCTGTTCGGGTGTAAAATTAAAAGGTTTCTTACCTCCGAGCTCCAAGAGCCATAAAATTGTGGTCAGAGTACTATTTCACCAGAGCAATGAAAAGTAAAACGAAAGAATTGCGACTAAAAGTAGTACAAGATTTCTTGGCCCATCAAGATTAGTCCAACCGTTTAATGTGTGCATGATCTTGAACCGTGAATCTGAAGAAATTTATTACGAACCAACTGACGTATTTTCAGTTATTTATTTTTACACATACACAAGGATACTTAAACAACATTTTCTCCAGAGCAGCTCCAAGGGGAATTTACAATCTTTTAGTATTTTACGAAGAACTAACTTTCACATAAGTTAAAAATTCAATTTATTTGAATAACACATCATAGTGACTGGGTGTAAGTGTCGTGAGCATGGTCTTAATAATGGATCAATGGCCTCAATTTGTTCGGTATAGGTTAATTTCTATCTATGAAAATCGGTTTCAAATCGTGTTCTTCATTTTCTTTTCAAGTTACTCTCAACATGGTGTGTCAGGGTATTCAGCCCGAAAGTGTCTTTCAGTGATCTACGAAAATAACAGCAATAAAATCAAAAGGTTGCGTTGTAGATGCACATATAGTCTCCTAAAATTATGCGAAAAACCTTCGCTTTTCCCTTCAAATATAGATTTCTATAAGTGCAGACTGTTACACCACCCATTTTGACAAAAAATTGCCAATGATCCTTGAAAAGCGTACCAAAACGTTTCCGTTTTTCTATCGCACTATGCATGCAGAGAAGCGAGGACATGTGCAGGAATTTGAGCTGCTTTTTACGTCTGGAAGGCTTCGCCCTTTGACAACCAACCTCGGAGGCGCTTCGCGCTTTCAACGCCATGTGTTACGCGTTACTCTTGTACATATATTACGAAGTATGATTTAAAAATTCTTGGGGTAGATGATGAGGCTATTTCTTGTTCTAAAGGTAAGAGAAGAAAAAGGCCCAACCTGATCCCTAAGAAG